CGAAATTCCTCACCTAATTAAAACGATGGTATACATCAGAGGATTTGGCATCAAATTCGAGACGGAACATATGCTCGAAGTCTTTGGAAGACAAAATAAGACTTTGGACGTGAAGAGATGTTAAATCTTTCAACTCCAATCTCCTTGTGATTGGAGTTGACGATCTCTCCATGACCAGTCTGACTAAGGAAGCACCTAGAATTCATGAATCGATGGTAAAGGAAGCCATCAGATTCAAACCCCTTAAGGCAGCGGGACAAGATATGGTCTTCCCGGCTCTACTCCAAAAGGAAGTGGACCTTATTTCGTCCAACTTAGCCGGAATTTTCAACACGTGCCTAAAGCTTGCGAATACCCCTAAAGCCTGGCAGGAATCGAGGGTAGTTTCATACCCAAACCTGGAAGACAAGCTACGCAATACACAAGTCTTATCAACCGATAAGTCTAACATAGTTCTTACTCAAAACCATGGAACGTACAATCGATACCATGATTAAGAACAGAATTGCAAACGATATGCTTAAATACAAACAGCATGCATATGTTAAAGGACGCATTACATGAGGTTGTACACCACATCGAGAGCACCTTCGATAAGAAGATGTATACACTAGCAGTATGCATTGACATCGAAGTTGCGTTCAACAACGTTAGCACAGATACACTCATCCAATCCTTAGATAATTTTCAGATCGACTGGCCCTTAATGGATTGGATAAACCATATGCTAAGGAATATATGGATAAGCTGTGGGCTATGTGACGTTAACATAAGGGACGAAGTTGGTCAAGGAACTCCACAGGGATGGATATTACCACCCCACCATTAACAGTCTTCTAAGGACTTTAACCAATGAAGGCTTTGAACAAGTCTATTATGCAGACGACATTATAATACTTCTGAGGGAAAGAACCCTAACTTGCTGTGCAGAAGGGCCGAGTCGGCTCTGAAACTTGCACACAATTTGGCCAGACCGAGAGGTTTAACGTTTACCCGAAAAAAAAACTGAGATATGTCTATTCACTACGAAAAGAAAACTGGGCCATAGCGTTGAACCGGTCTTCCTGAACAAGACAATAAATATTGCCAATAAGTTTCAATATCTGGGTGTGATTCTAGATAGGAAACTTAATTGGAGGGCTATAGGCTCAATCCAAAGATGACACACTGGCTATTCAAAAGCGTATTTAGACCTGTTCTAACATACGCATCGGTAGTCTGGTGGACAGCTGTGGATAAAAAATGTAATATCAAAATACTACAGAAAGTCCAACGAATGTGCTGCTTAAACATCTGCGGCGCAGTGAGGACAACACCAACTAGGGCATTAGAGACAATTCTATTTGTGCACCCAATAGAAATGCAGATACGGTATGAAGCGGCCGTCGCGGCCTTAAGGCTCGGGGCGACGGACGAGTGGATAAACAAAGGCCACGCTACACCACCAAATAATTTTACAGATAACAACGGGAGAATCTATAGAAAATTTTGTATCGGACCGGATATCTAAAACCTTTGTAGCTGCCTCATGTGGAACATTAATCCCTACCAGAGACTCGTGGATCGACAGATTCCTACCACAAATGCCGACTGGAAACTGTTGTTATACAGACGGCTCAGTGCTAGGGGAGAAAGCGGGACTGGGACTTTTTATCGAGGATACAAACACCGAAATCACTTTCCGCTTGCCCGATCACAATACGATCCTGCAAGCGGAGGTCCGGGTGATTGCAGAGTGTCTGAACTGGCTTAATGCCAATACGAGACCGGCTACCATAAACGTGCTAACGGACATCAAGACAGCTATAAGGGCTATAACATCCAAAACAGTAACTTAAAAACCGTTTTGGAATGTAGAAATTCAATCAACAACTACTCTCAACACGGCCTAGAACGCATTATATGTATACCAGGTTATACGTGAGTTAGGGGTAACGAGATAGTAAACTCTCTCGCCAAAACAGGAAGGGAACAATAAACGCCGACAATCTAGTGCCTCTAAGTGCGTTACGTCTAGTTTTAAAGTCATGGACAAAAACGCCCACATATCCCTATAAAACAATGAGGGTGTAGGGAAACCCACAAAAATCTTATGGGGCGATCCCGATAAGATAAAAACGAAGAACCTTTTATTACTAGGTAAAAAAGAGATCAGTGAGGTTACAGGCATCCTTATGGGCACCTGGGCCTACAAGCTCATCTGTACATGATAGGATGTGCAGATAACAGCATATGCAGGGCATTTGGGGAAGATGACGAAACATTAGAACATTTTATCTGCCAATGCCCAGCGTTTGCAAATATAATATCCCTATTCTCAGGGAACGACTCCATACCAGACCTTATTCAGACCATGGTAAATGATATAATGATATAAGACAGTTAAGAAATTTCAGAAAGGCCACTGAATTTCGAATATAAAAGACTATAAACTGCCCGTCTTCTTAAAAAAAAATCTTAGTCTAGAGCGCACTACATGCCTATACTGGGTTAAGTATGCCCAACATACATACAGGGCATGTGGCGAATTGTTTCGCCCCTCTTTTCAACCTAACCTAACCTACAATAAGGCTACATTAGCGAGATCAAGAAGGGAAAATCTTGGGTTTGCTTCCCTGGGTCCATAAAAGATGTCAATGAGGCTCCGCAAGGTGTTTTCTAAGGACCCTTAATCCATTGGAAACATAAAGCGGACAGATGGTACGTATACTGACTCTGGTTTTTGGACTCTCAATCTTGACGTGAGCGTGATCAACAGGATTGTAAGCACTCCAACAATCTTATGGGCCATCGACACCTTCAAGTCCTTCAAATCACCGGGACAGGACAATATTATCCCCGCCATGCTACAGCATGCATCGACGGTCTTTGCACCGATCCTGAAAGTGAGCTATAAGGCTTGTTTGCGTCTATCCCACATTCCATTACTGTGGAGGGAGGTCACAGTCACTTATATTCTTAAGTCAGGGAAACCAAGTCATGCATCTCCGAAGGACTACAGGCCTATACGTCTTTCGTCGTTTCCTTTGAAATCGCTTGAAAGACTTATAGATTTAGAAAACAGAAATTCGCTACATATAACCACGTTAAGTACATCACAACCCGCTTACATGAAAGGCAAGTCCGTTGAAGCAGAATTGGAACACAATGTAACTACAGTCTTTGCTTACGCTAACGACGTAGTTCTGTTGATTGCTGGGAAAATCCTGCAAACTATTTCAGATCTAATGCAGGGAGCTCATGTAAGACAAAGAGATGGGCCCGTTGCAATGGGCTTGGCGTCAACCCATCTAAAACAGAACTTGTCCTCTTTACGAGGAAGCGGAAATTCCCGGAATTTATACCACCATCGCTGGATTGCGTCACATTGATTCTTTCGTCTGAAGCCAAGTATCTCGTCACGATCCTCGACTAGAGTCTGAACTGGAGGAGGAACATCGAGTAACGCGCTAAACGAGGCTTGATAGCACTCTACTCCTGCAAAAACTCCATAGGGAAGAGCTGGGAACTGAAACCGTGTATCATCAAATGGTTGTATGAGTCAATCGTCCATCCGATTCTGAATTATGGTGGTTTAGTTTGGTGGCGCTCTGTGGGGAAAGCTTCCGTCAGTAAAAACATTGACAAAGACAAAGCGCTGCATCAGTTTTAAACACAGGTGCACTGAGAAGCATACCTCAAACTGCATTGGACACCCTACTTAACTTGAAACCCTTAAATCTATTTGTAGAGGAACAAGCTGCAAGATGTACGCTGAGACTCAAGAAACTTGGTCAATGGCGTAGTTAATCTTACGGACATTCGGTCATAATGAATTGTGTGGAGAACTTAGGGGGTTTTAACTAGTGACTATATATCACCTAGGCTAGACATCCAAACACTGGACATCCATGTACCTAGCAGAGACACTTGGACCCATAAAACTCCACCTTTCAGCGGTATAGCTATCTATACCGACGGCTTCAAGATGGAAAGTGAAACGGGTGCAGGTGTTTTCTGCGACAGCCTGAATATCCGGAATCCATTTAAACGCAATAAAGATTGTAGCGTAATCCTAGCAGAAATCTTTGCACTCAGGAAAGCCGTAGAGTTGCTGATGAATCGAACAGATGTACTGGATGAACCGGTGACTATATATGTCGAAAGCGCTAAATTTATCCACCATTAAAACTATGACAGTTCTGGAGTGCTGGATTGCTCTTTATAAAGTGAAGTTCTTTATTAAGCTTTGCACGGTTCCTGGCCATAGCAACACCTCTTGCAATGAACCTGCAGAAGAATTGGCAAGAAGTGGCTCCGAGTCAACTTTTCTAGAGATTGATTGATCCTCACTTCATTTCCAGCGCACAATGGCCACCAAAATCTCCAGATACCAATCCGTGTCTGGAATGCAAGTGCTAACCTTGCATTAACCTTAAGAAATACCAAAGTGTCGATAACCTCAAGCGTCAAGCGTTTCAACGGGAATGGAGAAAAATGCCGCAGAGCAACATTCGGGCTGCGTGTGACGTTTTCATTGGCCGTTTGAAATTTAAACTGATTCAAAAATTTTACGCTATTTCCGATTTTTTTGCTTTTATTCCATAATATATGTACATATGTATGTTTATGTAAATATATATATATATATATATATATATATATATATATATATATATATATATATATATATATATATATATATATATATATATATATATATATATATATATATAAGGGAAGGGAGTTCCCTATTCATGCATTGGGTTTTTTAATTAAAAATAAAGGTGGGGCGCCCTTTACAATTGAATGAGAGAAAACGATTTATGACGTTAAGTAACTGATAGTTAAAGAAATAAATCACAGCAAAAGCAAACTAATCAAAAGGGAAATTGTTATTACAAATTCAGTTCATAAATATTAAAATAATCTTGATAAATATAAGTCTACTAGTTACATCAGAAAATCAGTGGAAAGTGCTTGCTTCCAAACTCATATAAAGCATCATATTTGGTACTTACCGAGAATAGCAACAACCATATCATCTCTCATTACTTCCATAGAACCATTGCAAAGGTAATAAATATAATTTAGGGCATCGCCTTTATGTATTAAATATTCCCCTGGTGCACAAAAATTTGTCTTTATATGAAGTGATAAAAGTTTTAGACACCCCTGAAATTTAAAATATAATCAGTTATAGCCTTTAGTTAATATAATGAAATTTATCATTTTACCTGAGACGCTCCTTCAAATATAGGCAATTGCAAAATTTCACGATGTAGATGCATTGATACGTCTCCCCTTAATTCCTCTGGAAATTCTCGTAATGTCTATATTAAAAAAACGAACATTGTCATGGCTTAAATTTAATTGAGTAGTATTGAAATAAATTTGCATCAAAACACAAATATCTATGTTTCACTTTATTTTATAGTTTTCCAGTTCAAATATATTAGTTTTACTGGTTCAAATATATTAGTTTTTACGACTGGGGACTTTGGGTTATTTATACTCATACATTTCCATTCCTATATAAGGTAAAGGACGGTTCTCCTTCGAAAAACATAAAGATTCCATGCCCATATTGGTTAAAGACCATCTGTATCGGCTACGTCTTACTTTTTTCATTTGTGACGCAAATGATTTCCATTCCACATAAATGTTCGGTATACGGCCACCTGTACTCAAAAAAAAAAATTTAGAATGATGGTTGCGATAATCGTTTGGGGATCCACATACGGTACATACTGAAGGCTGAAGCAAAGCCTCGCAGAAAATTGAACCTATAATCCGTTTTCGATTGTCCCTGGATCTTCTCCAAGAGATATCAGGTATTTTTTATCCAATTCTACTTCCATCATACATACGCAAAGAGCAATATTGCAATAATCATTTGTTGTACAAAAGGAAGAGAAATATACCAATAATAATGTGAATTGGATTACATTTCGAGTCAATTTCTACATGTTCGTCTGACTACTACATTTTCTAATAAAATTACATGTCCCATATATTGTCCAAATGAGACAAACATTTCACTGTTGTGTATTTTAATTTAGTAGTAATCGGTTTAAATCTTGGTGCAGCAGCCATAAATATCTTGTCCACTTTCTTTCAGTCTGATGCGATATGAAAGATGCACCTTGAAGACTACGTAAGTCTAATTAGGTTGAACATTGGATCATAGGTCCAAGTTCATGCTAGAATAAAGTCTGTCATATCTGCAAAAAAATATATTCAGATATATCTATACTTTTTATACCCTCTACCATACTATGAAGGGTATGCTAACTTTGTCATCCGGTTTGTCGAAATATTCATGTCAGACCCAACAAAGTATACATGTTCTTGATCAGCGCAATATTCTTATTCGATTTTGCGATGGCCTGACTATTGTGGAAGGAATTGAGATAGATGGCTAAAATGTTGCACTCATGTGTATCTTGTCAGTAGGTAGGTTAAGTTCGTAAAAGGGTAATTGTCTGTTGAAATAGATAATAGTTAATTTATCAGGAAGAACGCAAAACGTAAAATTTAGCTGTGCTATTTCAAAACCTATCCTTATTTCCTCTTAAGTTCCTTAGGACAGTCATCATTGACTTATTCTTTTTATTAATGATCCGCCAAAAACTTTAAACTACTCTAATTCATTACTGTACGCAGACGATCCGATTGAATAAAGTTTGCTTTAGTCTGACTTCGATTATTTTTACATACGGTGCTAGGTAAATCTGGAAATGGGAAACTGTACTAAACTTACGTAAGTGCTAACATATTTCATTTTGTAGACTACGTTATTTTAACGCAAAATATTACTTTGAAAATAATAAGTTAGAATCTGTAAAATTTTTTTTACCATCTTGGTATTATACTTGATCAACGACTTAGTTTTCGTTATGGTGAATAAAGCTAATGGTGCATTAGGGTTTATGAAAAGATAGAGCAAGGAGCTTTTCAAACCAAAATACCCATTTCGCGCATAGTTTGCCGCAACAAATATAGCAATATAAACATGGGGTTTCTCCTCATTTTACTTGATTGTTTGCTATTAACGTGTTGTGTACATTATATATATATGAATACTGACAATTTTGTCGAAATAAAGCACGGAATTGTTATTATTTATTTAAATAAAATATTTGTTTGTTGCAAATATTGTTTCTAGTCTTGTTGACTTTTTCATGAAATACATTCTTCCTGAAGGCACACGATATAAGAAATGGTATGTACACGAAGGAAAATCAAATTTAAAAGTCAAGAAAAATATTTTCTTCAAAAAAAAAAAAAACTGTTTAACCAAAATTCAAACGTATGTGATTAAAACAATATTGAAATTTCTGAGTTATTAAAAGAATTAATATTCAGAGTGTCACAACAATTGCAACACTGGAGATCAGCTGTTACTCAATGAGGTAGACCTACTTGACCTACTTGATTTTCCTTCGTGTACATACCATTTTTCAAGTTTTTTCTCTAATTAACAAAACTTTAAAAAAAAAAAAAATAACCACCGCGTTTTGTATCTGCAAGGATATTATAAGGGTTATGGGCGATATCAAGCAAGAGTCAATCCACGGAATCTTGCAATTCCGTTGAACTAATTTTGAGAACTGGAGTTTTCGAGTGCGGATGTATCTGGATTCGTTGGAATTGCTAGATGCCATAGGGAAAACTCCACCAGCGAATTAAGCTTAGCTAACTCAGCCTAATAGCAAATGATAAGTTGTAATGTATTTACGACAAGAAAACAGCGAAGGAGATGTGGTCTGTTCTGCAAAATACAATTTCTAAGAAGTCGCTTACGAACCAGAAATAGTTAAGAAAACAATTAGCGGTTCTGCGAAGGAAGCCTGGTGATGATTTACAAAAACATTTACTATTGTTTGAAGAGCTTTTACTAAAATTAAAAACGACTGGATCAAATGTGGATTTAAGAGATGCCGTTGCTCAACTTTTTGTCACGCTACCAGAATCTTTTGACGTGGTAGTTGCCGCTTTAGAAAATATGAATGAAGAAAAACTATCTATCGAAATAGTTAAGCAACGGCTATTGGCATGGATGGATACATGGATACTTCCGCGCCATCTGCATTTAGTGGTGTGAAAAAAATGCTTGGTGTGTGTTTCCGCTGCAAGGAAAAGAGCAATAAACAAAAGAATTGCCGCGTTCATTTGGAAAATGAAAAAGCTAATACCGCGTCAGCTTCGAAGTCAATTTATTTCATGTCGGCGCTCCTGATGGTAAGATAATTAAAGATAAGTCTGAAGATTTATTATTCAAAATAGATTCTGGGGCAACACATATGTAAACATGATTTGTGCTTCAACAATCTCCAAAATTTGAATGAACCCATACCATATATGTTACGAAAGACACTGAAAATCGTTAAGCTTAAAAGAAAGGTAAAAGGTAAAGGATATTGGAAAGATACACCAATCACAATGAAAGATGTCCTATATGTTCAAGGATTTCGGGATAACTTGCTGTCTGTGCCAAAGCTAATAGGAAATGGAATATACGTTGAATTTTCAAAAATGTTGCTCTTTTGAAAAGAGAGGGAAAGGTCATTATGACAGCTCCCAAGACAGGAACTCTGTACGAATTGCAAATAAAAATTGAAGATAGGGCAAATACAAGTTTAAGTACAACTGATTTGGGAAAATTATGGCCCTCAAGAATGGGTTACCCTAGTGGTTGATGGTTTGGAAAATGATAAGCCTGTATGTATATGCAATGTATGTGATAAGGATGATGAGACGATGAGTCGTCCAAGGTTCAGTCGCCTTCTCGAAAGAATCCATAGTGATATATGTGGACCAATTGATCCGCGAACATGGGATGGTCACAGGTATTTTGTAAGCCTCATAGATGATTATAGCTTCGCATTTATATATCTACTCCAAAGAAAATCAGATGCATTTGACAAATTTGTCGAATTTTAAGCAATGGCTAGCAGTTACTGTAGACCAAGGTAAAAAACATCTTTCAAACAAAGCAAAGGAATATTTCAATAGAAAAGGAATTCAGCTTCAATACAAAGTTTCTTATACCCCACAGAAAAACGGGGTTGCTGAAAGATTTAACCGCACTTTTTGTGGAAAAAGTAAGTTCTAGGCTCATAGAATCTGGTTCGTCGAAAGAATTACGGTGTGAAGCAGCCTTAACAAAAACATATCTTATTAATAGAAGCCCCTGCAAATCTCTTGCTTACAAAATACACATGCCGAATTGTGGTACAAGTTTAAGTCTACTAAGACTAAGACTAAGACTGGGTTGCTAAATAGGAAAGAAAAATCTGGATTCAAAATCACAAGAAATGGTAATGATGGATTATATGTGTAATGGATAAAGATTGTAGAATCCAAAGGCCCGAAACATTGTTATTGCAAGAGATGTTCCTTTTGTTGAAGACTGTTTCCCTTATTTGCAACAGATTCAGGAAAAATAAAATCCTCAATTGATTGTAAGGCCCCATAGGAACAAGCAATAGGGGAATGTGTGGAGATTTTCATTCATGCTGAATTTTTTAGTAACGATGAATGTAATTCAGATGATGAATTGGTTTTTGTTGAAAATGGTAACGATATCGATTCTGCTATAATTAACGAAAATGAAGCCACGTCTACGCAATCTGAACCAACAAACTCCGAAGGTGTTTCAGTAAAATTAATAGGTTATATAACAGGAAATGCCAACTCTGCCTTTTCCCATTGTATATTGGATCCTAAAACATATGGCGAAATCATGAGGGATTCCTTTAAAGACAATTGGATGAGAGCTTTGAAGGAAGAGCTTAACTCTATTGAAGAAAATCGTGTTTGGGATTTGTGGAACCCTGTCAACCATAAAGTGTTGAGGTCTAAATGGGTATTTCCCATCAAAGAGGATGCAAAAGGTAATCCCGTCCGAGAGCCGGAAACTTAACAATTTGCAATGGCAATAGAGCAATAGAGAAGTAAAATCGGATCTAAATGTATCATTCAAAATATCTGATTAGGCACCCTACAATATTACTTGGGAACAAAGATTAAATATGATGGAACTAAATGCACAATGAAGCTGAATCAGAAAATTCACATTGAAAAGATTCTTGAAAAATTCTCAATGAAAGAGTGCAATCTTCAAAAACTGCAATAGAAAAGGCATTGATTCTTCCTATAGAAACCCAAGAGTTAACGAACAATCCATCATCAATTCCAGATCACGGTGCTAAAATATAAGATCAAAGTGTATTAATTACCTTTTTTTTGAGATTGTTAATCTGTGGATATACATAAAATTTACATTAAACTCATTTAGGATAACTACAAATTGTGTACATTCCTGGGA